AAAATTAAAAAAAATTATTATAAATTCTATATTTTAAGAATTCATAATCTTTTATTTTCATGCCTCATACATAATCTTTTAAATTCTAAGATTGTAGATTACAAGTCTAACACTCAACCATACAATTCTACTTGTAAGGTAAGTGTTATTCCAACTTATATACTCTTTAATTGTTTTATTTTCAATCGATGTGGGACTTGAAGATTTTTTAAAATATTAATCTTATTAATTTAAATATATTTTTTATTTTTCCTGCGAATTAAAATTTGCAAGAAAATCCGCAGGAAAAGTTACCTGCAAAATTTTTCTACCATTTAGTAAACATTACTTGCAAATTTATTTTTGCAAGAAAATCTGCAAGAAACAAAATAAAATTCTTACAATATTTTCTGCAAATTTTTACCATGAAATTTTTTTTTCCATGATTATTAAAATTGTAGCAAAATTTGTAAGAAATATCTGTAAATTATTTTTTGTAGGAAAATTCGCAAAAAATTTCTGCGAATATTTTTTTGTAGGAAAATTCGCAAAAAATTTTCTGCAAATATTTTTTTGCAGGAAAATTCGCAAAAATTTTCTGCAAATATTTTTTTGCAAGAAAATTTGCAAAAAAATAACACTTTTCTAGTAGTGTTCTCGTACTTAATTACGTCTAGAATATCTTTACTATCTCAAAAATATATTATATATGTTATAGGAATCCTCCTTCAAGTTTTAAGTATTGAAACATGAAAATCCTCTTATAAATTTTATGATGAGCAAAACTTGAAAATTCTCGACACAAATTTTACGATAGAACTTGATAAATTTTCCTTCATATGACCTTTCTCTCATTTGAGGTGATAATATCCTTTGATTCCTTTCTAAACCATGTGATTATTCTTATCTCGAACCTCTATTTATTGACGAATATCGTAATCTTAAAGAAGGAAACAAATTTTTAAAATAAGTATAATATTTTTAATTTTAAGCAATATTCTAAAGACAAAAAATATCATTTTATATATGAACATTAGAGGTTTAAAATTAAAAGTTTGAATTGTTTTTCAAGCGAGTACTCATATAAGACAATTTATATAATTGATTCATTTAAAAATTCTTAATATATAGATTAAGTTTGTAAATTTTTAAAAAATAAAAACTATTAGATACTTTGATTCTTTAATTCAAATTGATGAATAATTATAAAAATATTTAAGTTATATATTTATTAATTAATAAAATATAATATTAAATAATTTTATTTTTTATAATTTACATATCGACATATGTATTAAGAATTTTTAATTTAATATAAGTTATTAGGTGGAGTAAGTTTAAGTAAACTAACTCTTAAAATAAGTGGATATCATTTCATATATATATATATTATAAAAATGATAAGAGAATGTATAACAATATATAATTGAATAATTTACGACGTTAGTAAATTCTGATTATTTTTTTTATAAACTCTTTATATTCTTTCCTTGTTCTCCATTTACTTTCTCTTTGCTTATATATTTTCAATTTGACACTAAATCAGATCTTCTTTGCTTATACATCTCATAAAATAAAAGCATAAACACACAAAAAGAAAACGGAGAGAGAAAAATAAATGTTGGAAAAATGAAGAAAAAATAGAAAGAGAAAGAGAAACCAATGGGAACTCAAAGTTCTTAAGTTGATAGAACAGGATAATCTTATTCTACCGCGTGTCACGATGATCTAGTCTAATTATTTCTTATTTTAAGAGGGAAGTTGAGTTATTAAATAACAATAAAGTGTTTTTTTATTTATAATTTTTATATCATATATTTTAAGAAGGTATAATTCTTTTTTATTAGATGAATTTTTATAGGAAAAAAATGGATCATCGGATCATAATAATTCTATATTCAAAGTAAAAATCAAATTTAATGAAGAAAAACAAGTCACTTGAAGTCAACTACTATAGATAAAAAGTATTGTATTAAACCTATACAATTTATTATGTTCTTATCTTATCAACCAATTCTTATGTCTTATCCTTATCAACCAAGTCGTTAAAGAGAGGGTCAATTTGACATATTTGTATGCCGAATAACTATGCTTTAAGTAAAAAAGCATTTATGATATGATTAAATGAGATTTTTATTTTACAATTTTTTTTCTTAATAATACTCAAATTTAAAATTTAGGTGTAAGTGAATATGGGTAACCCGTGAATCCAAATTAGCCCAAATCAATCCAATAAGTTTAAATTGGATTTTTTCAGTGTTTGGGTCAGACCCAACTCAACCTTATCAAAATTCGGTACTGTATGGGTCAGATAATGAGTTTTGTGTTTTCAATCCTAAACCAACCCGACCCAACCTGATCATATAATAATAATAATAATAATAATAATAATAATAATAATAATAATAATAATAATAATAATAATGTTTGAATGATTATTTACTCAGGACAATATTCACTGTGACTCTTACTTAGTAACAAGTTTTGTATTTTAAGTTATAGTATTGTAACAATATAATATATTTATTTTAAACTTTATTTTGTATTAATTAACATTGGTTTTTTGAGTTGATAATAATGTAACAAATTAATAAATTTATTTTAGAATTTAATTTGTATCATTGCTTGCTATATAGGTTGATAACATTGAATTTGCAAGAATGAATCAAATGATTTACATTTATTTTGAAATATTTAAATTTTTACAAAAATTAAATAAATATAATTATGATGACTTGATTAACCTAACCTAACTCAACTCGTTCATGATTGGGTTGGGTTTGATTGAATTTTTAAAAAAGTTACACAAATCCAATCTAACCCAACCTGTTAAATTTTGATTGGGTTGAGTAACAAATTTATCCAAACCCAACTTAACCCAACCTACTTACACTTCTAATAAAATTTAAACATATTATTAGTGTTTTATTTTATACATTTTATAGGTTAACTGTCTATTATATTAAATAAGATGAAATTATTATAAATTAAAAAAAAACCATGAAAGAATATAATTGTTCATAATTAATGTCCTGGAATTGATAAGATGCATTATTATTTAGTTCCCTGAAAAAAAAAAGAAAAAAAATTGATTTGAGAGAGATATCCATGGAAAAATTCAGACAATATTATATGATTGTATTGTATTAGTGAAAGGATTAAAAAATAGTGTGTGTTGGTTGAAGGAAAAGATAAAGTAAGTAGTAATGGATGTTGTGGGCAAATAAAAGGAGTGCACGTGTGCAGAGTCTGGGAATTGATGGGACGCAAAAGCGATTTCCACATCGAAGGCGAGAATATTGTGCTGTGCTGCTCCCTGCAAAGAGGCCACGTACCCCCCTCTCTTTCCAGGAGTGCTGCACACCTTCTCCTCTCTCATTCGCTCCTTCCCTTCTCCGTGGGACCAATCACAACGCCCCCATCTACGCCTCCCAGATACGCTACTTTTCCACATGGCCCCCCATCATTTTTATTTTCTTTCTTTTAATCTTTCTAAATTACTTCTTGGAGCTGGACACAAAAATACACTTGCTCCATTTAATTATCATGCACTCTACAAACTTACTGCAATAATTATAATATATGGAATTCATTCAATCATGTAAAAATCTTTTACTGTGTCAATCTCAATACATTCTAATTAAATTATATTGTTTTATATAATGTTTATATTATTAATACAACTTTTTTGTGCTTTTTATAATTCATATCTTATACAATTTTATTGTATTATCTAATAGTATTATTTCGTCACTTTCTGATTTCTCTTCTCACTTTTTTAATTATTAAATGTTACAAAATTAATGTAATATAATCACTAGTTTAAAGAATTTAAATTCAACATTTAGTCAGAAGTTATATTTAATTTCTTTAGATATTTATACTCATATATTATTATTACTTTTTCTCAACATTATATCTATTAAGGATATAAAAAATAAAAAAATTAACCATTATAATAATTATTCAATCATTTTTTAATTATTTTATAATCACGTTTAGTCTCTATTTTTATCTAAAATTATTTTGTGACCACTAATTCATTATTTACAAGTTGTAACCTATATTATTTCTAATTTATATTATTAGAATTTAAATATAATTTACAAAGATACGAAATATTTTAATTTTTTTTTGTTTACTATTGTTGCATAAAAGTAAATATAATTTTCCTTTATAAAAACATAAATATATTTTTTATGGATAATTATGGTATTGATACAAGTATTTATTGTTAGTGTGCGTGTACACAAAATGAATATTTCTCATCAATATAGTCTATTTCACACTCTAGATCAAAATTCAAACTTGAACAACTTAGATTAAGAGATGAAAATAAAACATAATAAAATAAAAAATAAGTATAAATAAACACTTGGTACGGTATTATTAAATATAATTAATTGAATATCATAAAACATTTAAAAGACAAATATAAAAAGTTTGATAATTTTAATGTAATAAACATGTTTTTTTTTTGTTTTGTAGAAACATTTTGGATTTAATTTTTACCACATTTTTGTACACAATAAAAACACTACTTAAATTTACAAGAAAAAGTGTGAAACGATATCTTATAATTATTAAAATAATGGTATTATTAACAAGAATCCCATAATTAAGTACCTTCGAAAAAATAATTTATTCTAAAAACAAAGTAACAAAAAATTAAAAACCACAATATGAGTAAATGAATAATAATATGTTGTAAATTCATATGGATTTTAAAAATTTGAAGGTTGTAGTTGTAGTTGTAGGTAGTAGGTTTTGCAGTGTGAAAAGATGGATAGTAGTGTAAGATAGTTGTTGTAAATTTGCTCCAATCAGGTACCCTTTGTGTTTGCTGTTACCTAGACACGTGGCGCTCGCTCACCCAGCCACCGTGCTGCCGTTATCATTATCGCTTCCGCTCCATCTCACAGCACCGAACCCAAAAGAATCGCTAGAGAGAGAGAATCAAGAGAGAGAGAGAAAGATCTAACAACTTTCGCTTTCGCCACTGTTTCCTCTCTCAGACCGCCATGGACGGTGCCGATGTGTGGCGCGTGGCCGCCTCCGACGCTCCCTCTCGCGACAACAAAATATTCAACACGATAATGCTCCGCTTCCGACCGATCGCGCCCAAACCGGTCGCCGGAGCCTCCTCCGCCGCCCTAGGCGCCGACGAGGCAGGGCGGAGCAGCCACGTTTCGGTCCTCGGGAAGAGACCGAAGAGGAAGTACGTTAGGATTCGGAGAAACAGTGGATACGTGCGAAGAAATGGTAAGAGTAACGGAAATGATAACGATAACGATAAATCTTCGGCGGAAGGTGAAGGTGACGTGGCGGTTGTTACGTTGCAGTTGATGCCGGAGAAGGAGGCGCCGGAGGAGGACTCTCTCGCCGGAGATTCGTGGTGTAAGAACGTCGATCTTGACCTAACCGTGGAGAAGATTCAGATCGTGGAGAAGGCGAATCCGAAGGCGAAGGCGAAGACGAGGCCGCCGCAGGCGGCGGAGGAGGGAGAGGGTTCAGATCAGGTGACGGCGGCGAAGGTGGCGGAGTCGTGGGTGACGGTGGAGAGCGTGACAGGCACGTGCATGGGGGAGGGAGGGGGAGGGTTAGGGTGTACGGATGCGGAGAGGGTGAAGGTTCTAGAAGCGGACACGTGTCCGGGGTTTGTGTGCGACGAAAGTTTCAGGGTGCGGTGGGTGAATGACGCGTACAAGAGGATGGTGGCGAGCGAGGATATCGTGGTGTGGTTGACGCTGAAGGATAGTGCCAGCGCTGCGTGGCTGCGCTATTCTCACCCCGCGTTCACCTGCGGAGTGAGACTGCAGTACACGTGGCGCAACGAGAAGTGCACCAAGATGGTTCCGTGCGACGTTTGGAGATTGGACTGTGGCGGGTTTGCATGGAGGCTAGACGTGAAAGCTGCGCTCAGTTTGGGTCTCTGAAAAAAGGAAAAAAAAAAAACAGAAAAGAAAAAATCAGAGACACGAACACGACCTTATATATATTTATATATATATACACACATATATATATATATATATATATATTATATCCTTTTTATATATATACACCACCACACACCTTTGCATAACTCGCTAGCTCGAGTTGTGTGGATTGAGGCCAAGCCCCTCTCTGCACAAGGACGTGTTTGGTTAGGTATTATTCCAGTCAGAGTTTTTATTGGTACTGTTTGAACAAAATTTTAAAACAAAAATAGCGAGATATGGGAGTGAAGCGAAGAGCAAAACGTGATTACTTGTGAAACCGAAAAAGTGAAGAGGGAAGGAAAGATAGGTGTGAGAAAGTTGGGAATGCTAGCTTCTTACTCTTGGGAGTTGGGAGGGTAGGAAAAGTAGAAAGGAATGGGAGTTAAACATGCAAAGTGCTTCTGAAAAGTGTGTGTTATCTGTCTATCTATGTCTTGTAGCTAGGACTAAAGCTATTAGATGAAGTGTGTAAGTGTAACCATATTATTGTCGCTCTCCAAGACTTTGCGACTAAGAAAAATGGTGGTAAATATATGCATATAGTGTAGTAATGGCAATATGTATCCGTCTATCTATGTGTATCTATGTTGTCATTGTCTTATTGCATGACTGACTAACTTAGCCTAATTATGTGTTTAAACATAATTAAGGAGAATAATATGGGGAAAAAGAAGGGAGTAGGAGAATACAAGCATTTTATGTGTGTCGTGTTTGGCTTTGCTGTTTATTTAAGTGGGGGCATATGGAAGTTAGGTATAAAGCTCTAAAGCCAGTGGAATTTACTCGTGTTTCCTTTCGTTCACACCAGCTTACTCTAGTTTTGGTCATTTCGTGAGTTTTTACATAAACTTATTTATTTTAGATGATTTAATGTTTGTAAACTTATTTTTATTAAAATAAAATTTGAAAAGGTTATTTATAATTAATGTTTTATTTTAATGGAACAAAATAAAATGTATAATTTTCAACTTAACACAATTTAATAATTTTACTTTTAATTAAATGTGTTTTGATAAATAAATTTAATTTGGATTTGTTATAGTCAAATGTAATATTTTATTGTAAAAATAAATGTAGACTTATTAATGCTATAGGTTCTATGGATTTCTTGGAAAAAGTTTAGCATCAAGAGTGGTTTATTTTTGTAATGTAAGTAATCTATTAATCATGATTGTGTTAGTGATTAAAATTTATCAGGTAGGCATACCTTGTCAAAAAATAAACAGTTGAAACCATATTTTAACAGGATTCGAATTTTTTTACGTCTATCAATAATTTATCTGATTATAATATGAATGTTTTTCCATGTATATACATAGCTTCATGTCAACAGCATCAAATGCAAGCTCTTTCATTCAATAGGCACATATCAACAACTCTTGCCGTCCTTACTTGAAACTTATTGAATTTGTTCTGTTGCTGTCATGCGAACCTGTCAACTTCAATGTGGTGCGAAGTCCTATTGCCATGTATTAGCATAATACCTAGTCGATGCAACTAAAATTCTAATTTCAAATATAGACTGTAGTTATAAACTAGTATAAAGTTTTAAGTCAAGGTTTTCAATTTATATATAGCTACAAGTTTAGATCACTACACATATATAAAATTGTGAATGCCATAAATTTATCTCACAAGTCCTCTCATGAGGAATATCATTGTTTATATATGAGTTGAAGTATTTCATATCTCTATAATTTATTTAATAAAAATATTTAAAAATTAAATATTTGTTAGATAAATTGGTATTATGATTAATTTAAAAAAATATGTACAACAAATTAGACTGTCACTTTTATGTATGTTATAGATGTTATATTCAACACCTATTTATTAAATGCGATTGATTATTTGTGTGATAATATTTTTAGAAGTTATTCTTTAACATGAGAGTTTTTAGGAATTTTTTTAACTTCTTATTTAATTAAATTTTTTTTATGATATTTATTTATAAATTAAAATTTAATTATTTAAAATAAATCATCAATAATTAAAAAAATTTTACATCAGAATATAAATTATTTATTTTAAATTGAAAGTATAATTTATATGTTTAAAAATATTTATCTATATAAATTTAAATATATTTTTATATTTAAATATATAATTTATTTTCATATATAATGTATTATAAAACTTAATTATATATAATAAACATACTAAAATACTATTTGAATAAAATAGCCAAATACATCTCTTTGGTGATCTTAACTATAAAAAATCCACCATGTATATAAATATTTGTGTTATAAACTGATTTTTTTACAATACTGTTCAATCTTTGTTAATTATTTACTGATATTTCCTATGTTAACAACAATTTAAAGTGTCAAACTTACTAAATGAATACTAAATTGTTATTAATTAGATACGACAATAATCACATTAATTCATTTGAAAACTAAATTCTTAAAATTGTATAATCAAAATAATTGCATGTTATTGATTACTTAGGACATCTCCAATGCAAGCAACTCATTTGAGTTGTTTCATGCATTAAAAAATGAAAAAAGTGGTCTCTAGTGTGCCATGTCAGCATTAAGCAACTCAAACACAAATTTACTCTAATTGTAAGAAACTTTATGAAATTCAACTTTTAGAATTTTTTTTCTAATCATTTATAAACCAAATTTAAATTTTTATTAAAAAGGATAATTACACTACAATGAAAGAAAATAAATTACGAGAAAAAATACACAATAAGTAAATATTAAAAATAAAATAAAGCAACAGTAAATACATAAATATTATACGAAATTAATTTTCATCATTATTATTTTCGAAACGTTTCCAAATATGTTCAATAAGATCTGCTTGAAATCTGGTAAGAAACAGTTGCTTGAGGAAGCAACTCTCTCTGTTCTTCAAGCAACTCATGTTGTCACGTCAGAATCTTCTAATGACAAGAAACTAGGACTTGAGTTGCTTTATGAGATAAACAATTCCCATTAGAGTTGCTCTTAATTATATTGTAATGAAATTAAATTCTTAATACGTAAATTAAATATTATAATAGGCGCTTATTAATTAGTCTCCAATATTAATGTACATTAAGTATATAGTTATGAAAGCCGAAAACTGATCCTGGCATAGAGCTTGTTGATTAATAGAATCTAAACAAAAATCTAATTAGTTATAACCTATAATGATTTATATATCGTGCATTTTCTTGTTTCTATATAAATTATCTGTTGAAATTAAAAAAAAAAATTGACTACTATTTTTTCTTACATGATTTTGTTTTTTGTTAGCATATACAAAGAAACGGAAGTCCAATGGTCAGTTTAAATGATAAATATTTGATTCTTTTAAGTAAATTCTAATATTATATATCAAATAAAGCCTTCATCGGAAAAACTGTCTTTACCATACTATAAATGTTATTTTCAATTTGAATAAAATTTACTCATATATAGGATAATTATGATCTTTATAAAAATAAAGTATTTTTAATTCACAATACTAATTTATTCTGTAATTTATTTTTGATATGATTACTTTTTCTATGGGTAGGGATGAAAATAGCTTAGATTTTTTTAATAAAAGTTTATGACCTACCCTCCATTATATATGCAAATAGTCTAGACTATATATATGACCACATAAAAATAATATTATCCTTAAAGATGAAATTGTGAATGATGAACATGTTTTGGCCTTAATAAACAGTTGTACCATTGAAAATAAAATCTAAATAATAATTTATTCAAGTTTTTCAATTTCCTCCACGAGCTCTTAAATGTCCGGTAAACATAGGAAAAGATTGATATTAATTTTGTGTACAAATTAATACTTCATCTATTTTTGGTAAAAGAGAACTCATGTAACAATTAAACACTCTACCTAAAACCACTAGGATTAGCATAGTGGTTGGGTGGGGAGAGGTTGGGGTAGTTAGAAGCACGATGACTTATGTTCAATCCTATGGCGACCATCTTTGTAATCTTTCCTATCTTTACAAAAAAAAAACACTCTGCCTCGAATGTTGAAAGCACACTTTGAAACAACAATAGATACAAGCATGATCAACAAGTCTTTAGCAATATAACTATGAATATAATATTTACAAGAATTCACTCTCCACCACATCAAGATGTCAAAACACTACTAGAAAATTGTTATTCTCCTACGAATTTTCCTACAAAAAAATTTGCGCAGAAATATTTTGCAAATTTTATTGCAATAATAATTTTACAAAATTTTCTTACGAATTTATTTGCAAAAAATAATTTACAAATATTTCTTACAAATTTTTTTGTAAAAAATAATCTACAAGATATTTTTGCAAATTTTGATACAATTTTAATGATCATAGAAATTTTTTTTCATGGTAAAAATTTGCAGAAAATGTTATAAGAATTTTATTTTATTTCTTGCAAATTTTCTTGTAAAAATAAATTCGCAAGTAATGTTTACTAAATGGTAAAAAAATTTCACAGGTAACTTTTCCTGTGGATTTTCCTTCCAATATTAATTCGCAGGAAAATAAAAAAGTTTAAATTTATAAGTTTATACTAATTATAAGATTTTTAATTAAAAAATATTATTTTACTAAATTATTTATAAATATTTCATTATAATTAAATTTAATTTTAATTAAATTCAATATATAAAATTTTATAAATATGATCAATTAATGATAATGAGTTTTAATTTAATGATAATTTATAAAATTTTAAAATTAAAAGTATTTACTTAATAAAATATGATTTTACTAAATTATTTATAAATATTTCATAAAAATTAATTTTAATTTAAAATATTAATAATTAAATATTTATTTTAATTAAATGTATAAATTAATGATGATGAGTTTTAATTTAATGATAATTTTTAAAATAAAATTATTTAATAAAAAACTATTTTTTAGAATATTAAATATTTTAAGAGTTAAAATAGTTTATAATAATATAATTTTCTTGTTCAATATAATGAATTAATCATTTTTTTAAAGA